CCTCCTCTCTTCTATGAAGTATGTTTTTGTAATCTTATTCAGATGCTTAGTGATGGTGATGAAGACCGGAGAGAAGCAGGAACAGTAATTAACAATCACCTAAAAAGTATCGAACTTCCTTACAATTTGAGAGAGGTGCAGTGTTCACGATACAAGCAACTTTCTTGTAATCTAGAGTTAAACCTACCCAGTCCCGATAAGCAAATTCCCAAAAATAGCAATTTAACCTTATCTGAATACGCTATTGTCTGATATTAACGTGTTGTGCTCAGCTTGGGGGACGACTATATGTGATGATGCCATTAATCATTTTTCAGCGTGTAATGTGTCCTTAAGTACCTAACTGACTACATGCTGGAACATATCGGTGGCACTGTTAATGTCAACACTCAGACGTTGATAACTGTTGTTGAAACATCTTGTGGTGGCACTTAAGTATGGGGAGGATAGTGTCCGTGCCAGCGAGGCCCTCATGATGGCAACCACCAAAATCTCGGAATGTTTCGAAGATCACTATTCACTATCGTCTCAGACTGGATGTTTGTAGTGAAGTGTAACCATTACATGTTTTACGTTTTAGACGTATCCAATCTTACATTTACCTCCTCGACCCCCGTTAACCTGACCTTCGTGCCGCAAATCTGTACGTGGAACATACTCTCTTCAGAGATGAAAGGACACATAGCTTGATAATGACTTATTTTTACACGCTCGAAGCACTTGTTACCTTGAGCGGGATAAGCGACACCTTCGTGTGGGTAGTCACCTATACGGTTGCCACATTTGTTGCACATGTTCCCTTATTTATGTCGCCGTGACTGCTTGGAGCGTGTTCCTTTACTCCAGTTATTGCAGTTATCGCGGCACCCTCCCTGGACCTGACGTTCCTGGTCGTTGCTGGAAGCACCATCAACACCGCTCTCGCCGCTTTCCATGACGTGAGGGATGCGTGTGCCTCCACTCAACAAACCAAGTCTAGCATTTTGATGAGTGTACACTCCATTTCTGTGAGTTCCGGGGTGCGTCAACGTTCATGTAATATACCGACTCTTTGCTGTTTGATTTATTTATCTTTACCATGGAAGCCACAAAGTGATGAAGAGACGGTAGATGTGAGTGGTGATAGGCTGCGACTTTATTTGGCCATATCTTGGTTTTCTCTTGAAATGTGTTATTGCCATAGTTGCAGTGTCTCTAGGTTCTAAATGGTCAATATATTTGGCTTTGAACATTGGAAGCGGCATAATCCTAATCCCCACCAGTATCCCCTTGTTAGTCTAGTGTTAGATATGTCACATACTTGGAACCGTAGCCTACAGTGTTAAAGATATCACCTCGGCCCAGCACAGTGAAAGAGGTGCCACACACTGAGTCCTCTACAGTGGTCAGTGATCAAGTAATAGATCACACCATGTGATCTCATAGTAGCAACCACAAGAACATAAAAATTAACTAGCCCCGCGGCAGGACCGTCGTACTAGGAGGCTCCCGTTTATATCCACCCCTCTCACTCAAATACATATCCAGGGAATATATTATTGAACCCTGTTAAACCGCTTCAATAATGCTATTCGGCACCACACTTCACTCGTCCACAAAATTTTTCCAGTTCGTACCTTTTCGTGATGGATTCTGACCTGCTCCGACGGTTCCAAAACCTTGTTTATGCCCTCAACCCACATAAGTATCTCCCTCCATCTCCATGAGGGAGACCATCTCCCTCCTTGTTCTGTCTTACCAGCGAATACAGACCGTGACACTTCATTCTCTCTCTCCGTAGGAAAGGCACTTCCAAAGACAATTCTTGTTCTTTATGCCCCTCTTTATGTACCCCCCTTTTGTACAGTACCTATTGCGCCATAATTAAAAGTATATTCTGACGTTCGAATTCTCTGTCGAAGCTGGTCTTAAAGTTGTAGATGGAGGTGGCTTCCACAACTTCTTTCGGCGCATTCCATTTATTGACCACATGTATAGGATATAAATAATTCCTTACATTTCTTCGACTCATTTAATTGTTTCAAAATACCCCAATACCAGGCACCAGCCTTCCCATCCTTCTCTGTATTTTCCCTACCACACTTCCTACCAACGGTCTATACTTAGTACTGCGGACGACATGCGTGTCGCTCGGTTCGTATAGTTGAGCACCGTTTTGTGCCCACTAACTGGATGCGTAAACACCCATTATCGTGCTCACACCTGGTTATAGGGACCTCAGCAAGCTATGGGTTCCTATTCCTGTTAGGTCCACCCAGACCTGTCGTCTGGGTGGGCTAAACATGTTACAAAGTCCTACTGATATACTAGGCTGTATGTAGGTGGAGTATTGTATGTTAGTATCGTCATAATATATGTTGCCAGAGTTGCCTAACATACTGAATTTGTAACAAAATACTTTTTACGATTTTACGATAGTATTAAAATACTACTTGGAACTTTTTGTTCCGAGTAGCTGAATCTAAAACAACAACAGACTGTACGCTCTGCGGGGTGGTAACAGATGTTCACCTCCTGTTGGAAGCCTACCTGACGCACATGGCGTTCCTGGCCGTTAAATCGCTGCAATTCAATGTCGTTCAGGTTTATAAAAATATATATACTGTTATTATTAACATTGTCGTTAATGCTGGTTTTACTGAAAGTAACACAACAGCAACAATAAAATAATACAAAAAAGTATAAGCTAACAATACAAACGTAATAAAAATACATATAATTATATTCATATTTTACATGTTTATATTATATAAGTTTGGATTCGGACCTTGAAGGAGCTGCAGTTCGGGTGTGGTCTTAAAGACCTCAAACTGAGGTACCTCAAGGACACCTCATGTCTCTCCACACCCTGGTGAACGACAGCCGGTTGTCTCCTCCACAACCAGCTCCTATAATAAACATGACGTCCCTCCCATAACAGAATCTAGCCTTCTCAAATTCTTCACATGCATACATCAATTAATGACTTGCCCAACGCCTTCAAACACCTAAAACTACACAATTTGTTGATCAAACTACCTTGGTCTTTTTTAACATTTGAAATAACATAATAAACAAGGCATTCAAGAGTACACACAAGAATGACAAATAGCGACGCTTTTCGCTTGTATGCGCTACAGCCAAAAATTGCCGAACTAGAAAATGGAATTTTATTTTCCCTATAAAATGGACCCAAAGCAGCAAGTTTTGGGTCTTCTGGTAGGTTAGGAGAGCATCAAGTTCTCCTAAGGTTTGAAAACATCATGAAAACTGTTAATTTAAAAGTGTCCTTTCCTGACCTAACAGACTAAGCCAGAGGAGTCAAAACAGAAAACGGGACAGTACGTCACTTTCGCGAGCCGCTTCCATTTTCTAGTACAGTAAAACAAGTTTTAGCCTTAGTGCGCATACCAGGGAAAAAGAGACGTTATCCGTAAGAGGACGGGTTGGCCAACTAGCTCACACTTGTAATTAAGGGGGCAGCCTATTGATAAAGTTATAATTACATTACCATTATTTCGTAGTACTCAAATTATCATGCACATTATGTGGCAAATATTTCCTTCACTTGGATTTGAGTTTCATTGTTTATTGATAATACGGCATTAATTTATTATTGTCAAATTAATTTTTTCACCTGGATGGCCAATACAAAAGGTTATTGCTGTGCGTTGAATTTTGTAACTAGCTCATCAAGATTATAACTTGCTTAGCTAAATGAATTGTGGGGTTCAGTCCCTGAGCCTATTATGTGCCTCTGTAACCCTTTCCACTACCGCCTATAAGTTGGGTATGGGGTGCATAATAAATGAACTGAACTAACTGAAAGATAAATCACAAAACTAAATTCGTGTAAAAAAAACTAGCACTTCATGAAAATGCTATAGAATTTGTTGGTTATTATTTATGTTAAATATGAAGGGAAAAGTGTCTTGGAAGATAATATTAGACAATAAAGTTATGCAGATAGATGAAAATATAAGATGAATGAAGTAACTGAGGCCAGCCTATCCTCGTGTTTTGGTAGTACAGTACTTATAGTAACGATGTGGGCCATAGTATATACACCGACGTACAACGAAATTACAAAGTAGCAATCGGCACTATTGAATTGGACAAACTGGAAAACTATTTTTTACTTGTGTTTCAAAGAAAAAATAACCTAACCTTCCTAGGCCTAATACACGGTATCTGAGGCCTAATATAGTACATATATGTGTTATACTAGGCCTATTAATATTAAATTTTGTTTTTAGCTTTAATTTTTATAAAAGAATTCCTTACTAGTCAGTATACTATAATCTAAAAGCTAAGTACGTACGAATTCGTGACTATTGACGATCGTCACAATAAGTACTATCTAAACAGGAGGATGGGTTACAGCCGCAGTGGTGATGATCCATCATAGGATGGATCAATATTTAGAAAGTACAGTAGGATTATTTCCTGTTGTTTTGCCTCTAGCACGTCTGGCAGACCGGAAGCCCGTGGTTACGGTAACATTCTCCAACGTCTCGTACCCTCTCTCAAGGCATACCAATTTACTACACCTTTACTACTACTTTACTATAACGTTACAATTAGTTGTTATGAGCTTGTATTATATTTTAATGTAGATTTGTTAATTTTTTTTAGTCATAACGCTAACAGATAAACAGGAAAGGCATGTTCCTTCCTCGCTACAGAAATGGCAATAGGCTACCTGTCCTATGACACCGTACTCAACCAAAAATTTCCGAGGGAAGATCCTTCCCTGCGATGGTAGAGGGTTAGGCATTTCCAGGTAGATCCAAATTATAACTGTCAGTGGCGAGAGGGTTGGTAGGGGGGTAGGGAGAGTGCAGGGTGCGGTGGATATGACCACCGGGGTCATTTTTATATCCCCGACTTTAACCTTCACCCAGACTCCTGCCTCCCTTTCCCCGTGAAGGACAGAGAGAGGAGAGGGCGGTATATACCTCTCCCTGGGTGGAGGGATGGCGAGCCGGTTGGAGGGTGGGAGGGATGGTTGGTTGGTTGTGCAGGCAGACCGGACCCAACTGTGTCAGTGGCTGTCGACCAGCCGGGGTGTGAGCACTTGTTTGGTCTTAAGTGCTGTGCTGTGACGGTGGGCTCTTGTGTGTTCTTCCGTGGGAGGGTGTGCTGTGTTACGCTTACATGTTCTGTGCTGTTACGCTGAGCGGTGCTGTGCTATAATTATATATTATATACTGTGTATCCTACAACCCGTGTTAGCTAGCTTCTGTGACTCGCCCGACACACTATTGAATTGTAAATTCGCGCCATGGAGGTTAGTTGGCTTGTGTATTTCAAAACGCATTATTAAGTATAATGAAAAAATCATTTATGTTTAGTAATGTTTCTATATTTATATGGTTGATACAAGAACTGTTTTTTTCTCTGTATTCTGTAATATACAGTTGACAAAATTTAGCCCTAAATACGGGCTGCAAAATTTGAGAGTTGCTGGGTTGATTACACTGACTCCTCTTTAATTAACAGACCATTTACGTTTCCCTTCACCTTAAATCTATATCCCAGGACGTTAAATATACATGAGGCTAACTATCTCCAAATTTGCATGAGATTCTGTTAAGTCTGTTCTGCGAAGCCAGGATTCTTGAAATATTTACGCATCCACTTACGAAACCTGTACATCTTTCTTAATAAATGTAAAAGCCGGTCTTGATTAAGTTGTCTAAGCTTCGGAGGTTCATATCCCAAGCTTATAATTGTTATACACAACCGTGCAATGCTTCGGAGCTCAAATTGTTTAATAAATGTACACAGTCAGCATGAATGTTATGATGTAAAAGTTTCGATGAACATTTGTAAGTGGATGCATAAATGCTGATGCAGCCTCGCAGGACACTAAACATTTCAAAAAGTCAAGAATGAGGCGTTAACCTAATTAGATAGCTTAATGTTTTTTGCTAATCTGAGGTAAAATATTTTTTACTACATTTTCTGATAAACCTTTGTCCTCTTTTTAAATTAGGCCTTTAAATTTTATTTAGAATGCTCTATAATACCTGTTACCTAACACCATTTCTATGCTTTTCTATAATGTTGCATTGAACTTGAGTTTTCGTGATTCTTTTGTGCCCATACCCTCCAGTTTGATGGAAGAGTAGAAATGTCCCTATACCCATACTATTGACGTTGGTTAAATGGTTATCCCAATTGAGATTTTAAATAAGCATATTACATTAGCAGTGAACTATTTACAGCAGTAAAATTGTGGAGTTTTGCCGACTGAACTTTGCCAGTGTCAGTCTATCTTGGTTGATTACGATATTTTGCTTTCTTAAAGCATGAATGCTATACTTATTAGATTATTAAACTTACTCCTCTCGCGATTGGAGTAGTGCGTCGCCTCCAACTGGGTTAGGGCTTGACTTTCCCTCTACTTCTGGCCCCCTTCCTGTTAGTGTTTGCGTTAGGATTTGGCCGCTTCCTCCGGGTTAGTGTGGCCCCCTTTTCCCCCTCTTTCCCTGGCAGTGTAACTGCGCGTTAGGGTCTGGGCTCCGTCCCCTTCGGGTGACTGATGTAGGGGTCTGGCGTCCTCACCCCCACCTGTACGCTAGGTTAGGGTTTTGCTTCCCTACCCCCATGTGACAAGGTAGGGTCGGGCCTCCCTCCCTCCGTGACTCTGCATAATAAATAACTTCATGCATGTTTAAGAGCGCTTACATTTCACACGGTAAACTACATTATCACATTCATTCACCGTTATATTAACGTAGTATATATTATTTAATAGTATTATAGCGGTGATATGCTATTTTGTGTAGTCTACGAGTAATCCCTACACTTTGTTGCTAATATGACCAACTATTTCCGTAAATCTATTTTTAAACTATTACAAATAAATATAAAGTAATTTTTTTTCCTCCCTGCGCGGGCCTTAAACTTCTGGCTGGCCCACTAAGTGTTACTTGTTTCTGTTTTACTTAGGCGGAGTATGAGTGTTTAACTCGTTTGGTCGCTTCAATAAGATTTCGCCCCATGTGTTTAACAACTTCTGCACTGTTGAATCTAAGTTGAAATCTTATTGGGTTTGTAACTGTGCACTGTTAGATATTGTTCCCGTGATCTGTTGCGAATTCATTGTATTGAATTCGTCACGGTTCAAAACTAAATATAATTTAGTTCATTGCATGAAAGATGTGCATCGTAAATTTCAACTAAACCCAAAACGTAAGATGTAACACAAATTATTAAAGGCTAGGCTTCTCAATATATTTGTCTACTCGCAATTAATAGTCCAGTCTTGCATGAAGTGTATTTTGGTCCGTATTTCATGTTATGGCACTATTCAACAAGTAAAAATAATTATTTGCAAGTGTTATATTGGAGTGGGTGACGAATCATTGCCTGAAGAGCAAACTGTGTCCCTAGGCCGTGCTTATCTGTGGCTTCCCGTGTCAATGAAATTGAAATACAGTACTTTATTCATAAATGTTTTTTTCATATTTATAGTTTACACAAATTACAGTAAATTGTCATAATAATAATTTGTAATATCTATTACATACTATGTACACAAGATTCTAGGGTTTTAGCTTTGGGACTCCGCCTCCTAACTGTTCTCTCTGGTGTTAGCAAATCAAGTGCCTGAAAACATTGCTACATTTGTCGAGCAATTGGTATAGTGGCGATATATTTAAAAAAAAATTCTATTGAAACTCACGTTGGTTAAGAAAAGAAATAGGCTTGGTGATGTCAACGCGTTTAGAGCCAAATCCAGGACCGTTTTGTCATTTTAAGATGGTTTCCTTATGACTGTAAAATGTTAAACTTTTTTAAATTATCCTTGTCATGTGGAACCTTGGTTAGTTAAAATTTGAAAGTTCAATTATTACTTTTATAAAAACATATAAAATGCAGTTCGCGTATTCTGTGAATGTTATTTCTGGGCTACCTTTTAATATTGATCCCAGTAATACAGAAGGGCAATATGCATCTCTGGTTTCAAGTAAAATAAAGTACTATAAATTTTATAATATATGGCAATGTATACAATACTCTAGATACAACAGTTTTGGATATTTTTCAAGTTTTGTCAAAATTTAGTTATCAAAACCTACTAGAACGGATGACTTGTATATGTTAATACCGTCATGGTTTGGGGTGGATGTTTGACCATAGGATTGATTGAAGATTAAGCCACCCAGGAGGTGGCATGGGGCATGAATAGCCCGTAAGTGGTATATTTTTTGAGTACAGTAAATGTGATTTTTGGTCGTGATGACCATAGTACCATAAGGTATACAGTAAAGGGTGTGATGCAGGGAAGATAGTATGAATTTGTAACATTGGGCAGAGAAATGGTTGGGGAGTAGCAGGGGCGTTGTCTTCCGGAAATGTATAGGTGCTAGCAAGCTGACGCCGCCACAAAGGAAGGGGTACACCACAAAGGAAGGTGTAGAGTGGCCGTCGCGCTGATTCAACTAACTGCGCATATAATTTGAACAAAAATAACAGGTTGGTAAACAATTCGTAGTATTCAACGGTGGCCACAAAGATGTCAATGAACTTCACCTCGGTCCCACGTTAGGAGAGGTTGCGGTCTTCTGTCGTGAAAACTGGTTTTGTACTGCACAAAGTAGCGGTTGCATTACCCAACTCTCATATTAATCTCCAATAATTACCTCTTAACTTTCACAACCCTCAAAACGGGAAATTGTTTGCAAACAAATCCTTGTTGCTCGATATGATTTTTTGTATTAAAACAATACTTTACTAGCCCTTTGTATATATGTGTTGTTAATTTGCAGTTTTACGGAACATTCCCTCTGCTTCCTCTTGCAAATGACTAGAGTGCCCGCTCTAACACCCTCCCCACCTACCTGGAGAGACTCCTTGCCCTCTGCGGTCATTACTCCCGCCCTCTGCACCGCTGCCAGGTGTAAAGTTCAACCAGCCATTTAAAACTCGACTTCGATTGATACGTCATGTTAGGAATGGATATTACAGTATTGTTAGTTTGAGTAGCCTATCATTCGTCTGTAGCGTGGAATTATTTTGTTTGTATAGTAAAACGGACCTTTGGTTCTGTATTTGGATATTGCACACAATGTCAATTAACTTTTTTATATCAAGAAGTATTCCCGCCTCTCCAAATAAATGGCTTAATGCGTATAAGGAGTGTGCAGCATTTTATTAAAAGTTTCATAAACCTGTACACTGAAAATTCCTATACCATCTTCCTAGGTCTTAAATCTGCATTTGATATTGATTGATTAATTGAAGATTAAGACACCCAAGAGGTGGAATGGGCATGAATAGTCTGTATACATTTGATATTGCAAATCCGTGGCATTTTAGGCGAGTTTAGCAGAATGGATGTTGGTGTTTCGCTGGATACGAGGGTATTTATGCAGCAGGAAGTTGTCTGTGCTGTTTACGCTGTTATTGGCATTACTGTTAAGGCGTTAGTACCTTTTGAATGTGTTGATCTCTGTGCTACTAAATTGTTCCTAAAAAACCTAATGAACACATGATTAGATATGCTAATATAATAGCACTGGGCATACTATCACCTAAACTATTCTTTATCTCTTAGACATGAGGTCCTATTTTATGGTCATGTTTTATCCAGACAATTTGGCAAAATGATGTACTTGTCGTACATTAGATCTTTAGTTCAGTATGCTGCACTTCTGCACTAGTACATGGTGGAATGCTTGGTGGCCGGGCAAAAATGGTAAACTTATGAAGAGCATTCCAAATGTTATTGGTGTTAGTAAACTAATGTTTTAATTTGAATCAAAATGGTTAGGCTAAGAAACTACAACCCTTGCACGAAAGCAATCTAGACCTTTCTTGAAGGTCAACATCCTTAAATAATTATTACTAAAACTGTGGAATGTTCCCTCCCTTTTTTTAAATTAAAAATTCTGACGTTACCACCCAAAAAATCAATGAAATGTCAGCCCAAACCTCGTCTTCAAAGCATAACGCCTTGGGCTAAGTTAGACTGATACTAGATTAACAGAGCTCTCCCTTTACCAAACCATATACACTGAGCTTTTATTGTACCGCCCATCCACTGGTGGTGCCGGAAGTGCAGTTGTGATCATAAGCAACTGGCGCCCTTTACCATTCAGTCGTAAGTATTTGCCATACTCATCGTTTAACACACACAAGCTGGAGGTCAATAGGTGTCACCAGATTTGTAACACAGCTGAGATTAGAGTTACTAGGAAAGACTAAATTAGGTCTCGCTTTATTGGAAACATAATAATCAGTAGAGACCTGATCACCACATAAAAAATTCTCTGGAGA